TGTGTGTGTGTGTGTGTGTGTGTGTGGTGTCATGGTCATGTTGAACAGAGGCGATGCATCTCAGATTTTTAAATGAGTCAAATGAATTATTCAGTGTTCCTGTTGTGGAGCTGAACTTTCCCAGAGAAAAGCCCCGAGGGAGGAACTTAAAAGTTGAGTCGAGTGAGAGTGAAATCGGCACGGTGTGGTTTCCTGAGTCCTCTTTGTCTCTCGCTCTGTTAGATGAGCAAAAGGACACTCGTCTCTCTCTTTCTTCCCTGATGATCATTTGCACGCTGCTGTAGCGTGAGCTCGTGTGCATCCTCTTGCTGCCATCGCAAATATTGGAGATCTGTCGACCCCGTCCTGCTTAAGTGAAGCATGCGTCATTATGTTAGCTAATGAGGGCGCACTGGACGTCTGAGGTGCAGGCGGCTGTTCATGAGTCGCATCTGTTTCTCCATTCGAAGCGTAAACCACATAAGATCGTTAAACGGCCTCGACGGCCGTTTTCTCTTCCTTTGCATGTCAAAAGTTACAAGAAATGGAGACACTGGAGATTTGTGTTTCTGTGTATTAATTTAGTCCTACTTGAATCCCGTTCATTGACTTGCTTCAGGGTTGAACAGGGACTTCTGCAATGGCTTCCACTGTATGTTCAGTCTGCCATCATGCCACGCAGCGGTAGCCATATTCTCTTTCTTTGGTTCTGTATGTGATGTCGGACCTTAGGCTGGCTGTGACCTCTCACAACGATAAAATGACTGTAGTGGTTTCTTTTCTCCAGCGCTCCGAACACAAAGCAACATTGTGAGTTGTACGTCATTTGTTATATCTTGTAAATAACCAAACTGATGTTCTCTCACTGTAAAATATTTATGCTCCTTCAATGGGCTACTACAAAGGAAGAAAAAATAAATACTGAGAACGCCAATGTTTCTGTGGTTTTCTTTTCTTTTCCCGTCTTGGTTTTCGTATCGATGAAAACATCCATTGGTCTGTTTTCTGCCACTTATCTGGGTCCGTAGAAATAAATAGTAAATACCGTACACATGCTTGGCAGGATCTGGATTCCTAAATCCCTGTGGACAACAAATACCAATTGATTTGTGATCGTACCTGACTGTACTCTGACATAATCTCAAATCAAATATATATCTATCTATCGATCGATATCTATCTAGATATATATCTAGATATGACTCCAAAGTGGCAGCAATGTTAAACTGATTGTCAGATGTAAAGGCATCTTCCAAAAGGAATTAAATAATAAATGAAAACACAGAGACATCAGAACCAGCAACAAGATGAGACTGATGACATTGAGGGGCATTGGCCAGCCAGTCATATGCAAAAACCTTGGCCAAACATTCCAATCGGGCATTATTTCAATAAATTTACCACATATTTGATGTTTTGCTAAAGTTATGCTTCAGACCATTTCTTGGACACGACCAGTTAATTCATGGATGATCTGCTGGTCGCCTTGCAGCTGCTCAAAGCAGTGGACTATCACTTTTATCAACCGTTTAGTTTGCTTGTGTTTTATAAGAATGGCCGACAGTGTGGTTATGGACTCCACTCTGTTAATTGTGTTAAACTCTCTGCGTTGGGTACTGCCGTAACCCTGACGGAGCTCGCTCTGATTACAGGTTCTTGTTGTGCAACGGTCACACAAGGCCGGCTCTAATGGCTGGTTGATTACTGGAGTGGGTGTTTAGTGGCACAACAGAAGACAGCAGGTTGAAATGTCGTTGACTCATATCGACAGAAATAGACACACGATGATCCAAACTCTGTTCAACAATTCATCAAATGACAAGTTGTTGGTCGTGATGAATCTGCAGCTCCCCTCGTCTTTACGGAGCGTTATATTGAGTTTCCGCTCATTGTTTATGTTGGACCCAAAACTGGGTTTTTTTGTTCCTTTTCTTTTATCCGTGAAAACAGGTGAAAATTATTTTTAGCGCTGATTAAAATGAATTTCTAGCCAAAAGAAAGAGATGACAGTAATGTTACATAACTTGCCACACAATATATGTACCTCTTGGTTAGAGAGCATGGAGGAATGAAAACTCAGTTCTATTTAGTACAGGGTGTAGTGGCCTCTTGTGGCTAAAATTAGAACAACAAACAAATGATCCTGACAAACGTGTAAACCTTTAAAATAGTGAGAAAAGCTGTCACAATTACTCAGAGCCCAAAGTGACACCTTCACAATGTTTGTTTTGTCCAAGCAACAGTCAACCTCAACATTATTACTAATACTTTAGAACTATTACTGTTATCAAAAGGAAAAGCAGCAAATCTTCAAATTTAAGAAGCTGGAAACGAGAAATGTTTTTCCATGAAAAATGGTGGCAATTGATTTTCTGTCAATCAAATAATCAGCTTGTTGCATCGTAAAACTATATTTCTCTGTTTTGAAACAGACAAATGACATTGTCCTGCTGATACGGGTGTCAGATCAGAAAATCCATAGTAAAAATATTTATGGGTTTATGTAAAATAAAAAATATAAATGCAGATGTATCAGAATTTAAAAAACAAAACTCTCAAATATCAATGTTTGTATTGGCCTGAAAATATCCCTTATAGGTCGGGCTTCAACAGAGAAATGCTGCTTAGGACACTTTTTCTGGATCAGTTCTATAAACTGCAACAATTCTTCTACTGAAGGAAAAAAAATACATAAACTCTTCCTCCGCCAATTGTGTTTGATCTGTCTTTTGAAACGTCAACATGCATCACATCTGGACTCCCACGTCCTCCCTCAGCAGCGGCTGATGGTGACTCGCTCTCATGTGAATCCTAATCCGCTGCCGCTGGCTGGTTGGCGCCTGCTTTGTTGCAGCGATGTGGGAAGAACGTTGAGCAGATTAACAGCATGTCGGACTGAAGAGAAAACCAAACACATATTGTATCACTTAGAAAAAAACCCTGTGCGTTCAGCGATCAGGGCCTCTTCTTATCAAGACACATCTGTCTTCCCAGATGTTGTCCCACACATCTCCATCTTAGAAAAGGTTGACTGTTGAATTACATATGTACACACAATGTACATCATTTTCACATGTGGAAGTTTTTTTTTTTTAGGTCAATCAACTTTCTCGTTCTATAGACTCCATTTGAAGATCCGGATGTTTTTATACTCAGAAGTCTAAATTTTTGGCTTCATGCACCTCTGAGCAACTTGAATGAACGGGGCCCCGCCTCATATGCTGCATCCAGTTCTCTGTGCACATCCGTGGGTAACAACTCGCTGACGTTCAGCACCTTAGCATGTTGGCATGCTCACATGAGTGAGCAGTAATCAAAGTACAGCTGAGGCTGATGGGAATGTCATTAGTTCTGGAGCTTGAAAGTGATAAGCTTCATGTGAACTTGATAGTTTTATTAGGCCACAAAAACACACAACTTTCTTTCCATCTCTTCTCCTCCTCCTCAGTATCTCCACCTTTGTGCAGACAGTGATGGAGGTCCTGCAGTGTAAATACATGCAGGTAGGTTCGGCCGGCTGTTTGCTCTCAGCTGGCGCAGACTGATAAGGTTCAGGGTTTCGGGGAGTCGTGCTGCTGTAGCTGCCAGTTCATTTACTCACGTGGTGATAAGGCCGATCAGCCTCAGTAAGCTGTGTGTGTGTGTGTGTGTGTGTGTGTGGGTGTGTATGTGTATGTGTGTGAGGGGGTTGTTGGTCATTTTAGTCCATTCAGAAAAAGTAAATTTGCATTCTGTGCAGGAAATGACAATATTTATTGAGTGGCCCAGTTAAAAAGTTTACTTAAAGTTTTGTGGATTTTTCAAGTTTTAAGTTAAATACCTGCAGAGGATGAGAGGAAGAAATGACTCAACCCACGATAATATATGAAGTCAACAGTTACAGGTATATTAATTTATAAGTATATTAGACAAATCCTCTTTCAGCTTTATTTATCCGGGGAGACGTCGCTGTAAGCTCTTTTCCAGGAACGCCCTGATCACGTTCACACACGCGGCATTCAAGTCACATCAGAGTTCTCATAATGATGAGATTCTGACTTCAACATCCAAGTCATTGTGTAAGGCGGGCAAACAGAT